CTGCTTTTGCTGTATAAATCCCTCACTGTATTCGGCTGAGATATAATCCAATAATTCTGATGGAATTTAATTATAAGAACATCCTAATTGAAGGTAAATTAAACAAGAGTATGAAGAAGTGCTGTCACACTAAATGAAAATTTAAATTACACCAGTAACAGACAGCTCTGTCCTGGAATTATTAATTAAAGAGTGTGACATTTTGGTTTCTGGTTAATCGATGAATGCTTCACAAATATTTTGAAGCCTTTCTTGATCTGTTATAGCCTAAATTAAATCTAAAGTTCTGACAGACACTGAGCAGGAGAGAAAAGCGAGTTCACTTTGGAGGGGACAATATATGAGGCATGGAATCAAGAATTCTTTGTCTGGGAGATGTGATGCCCTCCCAGCTTAGAGTTTCCTCCTGTCCCTCCGTGAGTACATCCAGAGTTACACTTGGCTTGTATCTAGTCAACTGATGTCTACTCTCCTACTGGGGTTTTGAAGTATCAAAGGAAACAATTTTTTAACACGAAGAGAACAGATCTAACAGACCAGTGAAGCTTTCTGTCATTTCTCCTAGGCCTTATTTCTGATACTGTGTTTACCAGAAAACATGCTACTGTACTTGCCCAAGGTGTTTCAGCCAGCAAAGGGAATGGCTATGTCATCAGCTGTGTGGGATGCAATTGCACTGGACTGAAGAGGTCAATAACTATCCGATCCCAGATTTGGGGGTGAAAACTGGAATCCGTATTGAACACATGAAACATAATTTAAGGGTCTTGGGGGCAGGACCTGTTAATGAGGAGGACAGGTTATGCTAACTAGGGGATGGATTATAACTAGGGGATTACAGAAATTTCTGCTACAGTTATACAATTGGTTAATATTTCCCATAACAAGGATTATATGGGGGGAAAAGAACAAAGGGGTTTCTACGTGGTCTGATAACATGATCGCAAAGTCTTTCCATATCTTGCTGGAGGAGACAGGACAATCAACAAAGCTAAATATTAGCAAGTCTTGTGATGAAGCTCCTCAGAGTAAGGAGTTTCTCTCAGATCCTGCTGTCCATGGTCTGCTACATAATCTCACCAGCTCCTTCTCTGCTGATAGTAGAGTTTCGGATTCCAACACTGAATTGCTTGGGTGAATGCAAGGAGGGACTCCACTGAAATTTTTGAGTCTCTCCCTCTGTCTTGGCTCAAAACACAAGTAGAATTATGCAATTTTATCTCCATTGACATATCTATCACAATTTTATCTTATAACAGTTATAACTTCAGCTCCCTGTAGATCCCTTTGCTTCCTGACATGCAGACTGCTCTGACATCCACGCTGACCCAGAGAGAGCTCAGGCAGTTTTAATGTCTCATCCTCTCCTCATGATCACAAACCTCGTTATTTCTTCATCACCACTCCCTCCAAAAAAACCCCAAACACCCAGATATGAATTTGTTTGGCAGCATAACTTTTCCTTTCTGGTGATCTCTTCAGAATTAGAGCAGCTCAGAAATGTTCACCGAAACAACTTGATAGGAAATATTTCTTGTTGCTTTAGACGGATAATTCTGTCTTATTGAGGGCTTGTCCTGAATTTCATTAGTGACTATCAAGAGAAAAGGATTATCAAAATCTCTCCAACTATATGTAAAACTGATTGAAGTATGATGAGTTACATTAAAACACCCATGAATCATAATTTCCTGACTTTTTTAATAGATAAATCTAAGATACATTGTATATGACGATATGCCCAGTTTAATGTCAGTGCAATTAAATAACCCATCCAGAAACTAATAATCAATACAAATACTCAGGGGAAGTCATTAGACCTTTAGTTTTCCATATGATGAGATAGATAGTAACTGACTGCTTTTAAACATTTTAAACATCTTCCTTTCCCTCTCATGTACAAATGGAACCAGAATCACTTTACAAACTTGTGTGTCTTAAAAACAGCAATTGATTTTATTTCCTTGACTGATAATTCTGGATACTCATAGATTGACTAAGTTCTGGGAAGATTTTATGAGGTGCAGAAAAACTAGAGCACAACTGTCTTGTCTTCGTACCCAATGACTTCATTGGGAATTATTTGGAACCTGAGCTGCTGAGAGAAGGAGCACCCTATGGCCTTTGGGTCAGGCCTGGAGGTCATTGCTAAATGTAAATGTTAGATAAAACACCACCACTCTTTTAAATGTCTGACTGAAGCAGAAGAATCCAAGTTATCTCTTAGGCCTCTTATATATTGGGAAACTTGGATATCTGTAGTGGGACCCCCAAAAGGCAGCATATTCAGTAGAGTATCGCCTGGTCAACTCTCTTGGTGTATAGTGGTATGTAGAGGTATATGGTGTGAGATAGCATAAAAGCTCGAGGCTGAGGAATTATCTCTGAATATTACCTCTATGAAAACTCATATAGGAAATTAGTATCACTCCTACTATGGCCCTGAACTCTCTCAGAAAGGCAGCTATTTCCTTTTTATTTTTAAGGGCTTGAATTGACAACTGAAGTAGAAAGAAAGGCCATTGGAGTAGATTATCTCCATTTCTGTTAGTATGCTGCAGTCTAAAAGTTGCAGCACTGAATCAGGAAACAGTAAAAAATGTTTCATTCTTTTTCTGCAAGAAGATATTATGAACAAATATTATCTTGAGATAACCTGCAGAAACTGTATATTTTATAAGGAAGATTTCTCTGTCTCAGTTGAGTTATGTCCTCTGTTACATTGCCTTCCTGGTTCAGAGTTTTCAGTTCTTTGTTACATCTTGTAAGAGCACTGTTGGATAGAAAACACCACAAAATTTAATATAAACTTCAATTGGATTATTATTTCACCCTGCTGGGCTGAAGGAGGTGCCAGTCTGCCTCTTTGCAGGTAAAAAGCTGAGGTTGGTTTCTTTGGGAAGCCTAAAACCAGTCTCAGTTTTCCTTAAAGAGTACTCTAAGGAGAGGAGGTAAGCTCCTACTGCAATATTTTTAAAATTAAATGGAGTCTGAAATTGTATTTTTGCCAGATTTTTATTTTGTATGTTCCTGTGCATTTGTACAATATGGAATGAGCTGCACAGGGAACAGAGGCAGACAGTAATACAGTTTTTTGATCCTGGTTCAGTAGGTGATAAATTGGCAGGATAGTTTTGACTGTAATGACTCAGGCAGAATGACTTTATTGTAAATAAGAAGATAAAATTGGTAGGCATTTATGTGGCATTTCTGTTTTGCAACTTGATTTCCAACTTAAGACCATCTTCTTCATCATACTGTTGCTCAGTGATCTATAAAGAAGTATTGCAAATTTACAGTGAGTGCTCTTGATGACTTTCTGCTTTATTTTCTCATCACACAATTTTGACACTTGAGTCAGTAAAAACAGTCATCTGTCACAGTGTGTATGAGGATGTTAAATGTTAAGGGTAGCTAAAACATTGGGTCCCAATTATCTGCATATGCTCTATTAATTTTATTTTTCTTTCTTTTTTAATTCCTGGGTTCACAAAACAGCTGTTTACACTCAGTTACAGAGCAAGTGATAATGGTAGAAACACTAAAACTGGCTATGTTGCCAAACTTAATTTAGTTATTAACAACCCCCTGGTTAGAGCCAATGAAAGTTCAGGGGTCTGATTCAACAAATTTGTTGTTTCCTGAAAATTGCCAAGTTTGATGAAAAGTGAATAAAACAAATGAGAAATCACCATTCTTAGGGCTCAGATGCAGCCTGTATAGGGCCAGGGTTTTACTGAGATATTTGTGTGGCTAAGCCAGTTTGGCCCAAAAGTATGCAGGCACTTTCTAAAAGCTCAGTCTTGTGATAGCTAATATCTCAGAACTGCTGCCATTTATTACCAGCAGTTACCAAAGCCTAAGTTTGGTGGATGCCTTTTAGACATTTGCAAATAAATACATCTGTTTTCAAGGAACCAGGTGTCTACAGTTTCCCGTTAGCATTAGTTCAATAGAAGCAAATTGTAGGCAACCTACTGTTGCTATAAAACTGTTTTCTTAGTATGATTTAGACTTTTCAGCAATCTACATTAAGTGATGACATTTGCACATTCTACATGTATTAAATGATAACCAAGTACATAATATAGCCTGTGCTCTATATTGCTTAAAGGCCCTGTTCTGTAGTTATTAATTCCGTTTCATTTTGAGCTCTTTGGATAGGGTGGGGGAAAAGGTCACTGTGTAACCTTGTTTGGGAATAGATTTCCCAAAGTTGAGGGTCTGCCTTATTTTAGCGACTCTCCTTTCAACTTCAGGAAACTTCACTGAAGTTTTTTGGTTTTTTTTTTCTGTGATGTATAGGATCTTCGGTTGTGGTATTTGTTTTGTTTGTTTGTTTGTTTTTCATGGCTAAAACAACACATCCAGCCCAGTTCTTTATAAATGCTTCTTGTTTTCCTGTTTTTCTTCTGGGAGAGGGATGAAGCATCTGTCAGCTAGGAGGTACCATCTGCAAGGAACTGCAAGGGAAAAAGTAGGCAGAAGAAGAGCGTGACAGCAGAGTGAGGAGAAAGCTGGAAAGTTCAAACATGGAAGCACTGACAGCGTGAGGGGACAGTTTGTTTTTAAAGTGGAGAGGTAACGTATACATATTCTTAGTTTGTTATTATATCTATTTTATCTGGAACCTGGAGGAATTTTAATAAGAGATGAGAATTTGAGCAGAACAAGAAATAAAGATACATCTCAGTGCTATGAGCTTTATCCCAGTTGACAGAAGTCATCTCTCTAATTACAGAGACAATTGCTAGATGAAAACTACTTCAACTGAACAACTGATTTTGTCTGATAGCAGTGACAGTCCCTGTCCTATTAGAAGCCCTTTCAGACTTCTCCATTATAGCATCCCGTCTCTACGTTATTGACATTTAATCACTTTGAATAAGAGAGTGTAATACTGATAATTTAACAAAGTGACTTCTAGAAGCTTATCCAGGCATATAATGAATTCTGAGACATTGTAGGACTAACTCTACTTTTTTTTCTTGCACATAAAATTCCTGATGAAGACAGGGTAGCTTCTTTTCAGAGTGCCTTCTTTCCTTTTGGGGGAGTGTGCAGTCACTTCCTAAAAATCTAGAGTGGAGGTAATTATCATAAAAAGGTCTTTATTGTTATCATATACCACTTTAGCCCTCAATTTCTTTTAAAGCAAACAGTGATCCTAAAGATTCTAAACAACGGTATTTCCAAAAAGAGTATGGGATCATCTGCTGTGAGGTGGAACAAAGTTCTGAGACGCACAACTGCAGGAAGCATATAGAGAACTATTTGATAAAATAAAGGTTTTGGCCATGTGGGGGTAAGAATTTGGAAGTCAAATCAGCATTCATGCTGTGAGGAATGGATTGATACATATATGATTATAACAGCCTTAATTAAACCTTTCCTGAAAGTGCCAGGATGTCACTGGCCACTAAACTGACTTTTTATTGATGTTTAATAAATGGTAACAACACCTTTTGACAGACTCAGCCTTAGTCAACTGTCCTATGTCCAAGAGAAGAGAATGAATTCCTGTCACAGATTGGAAAGTTGTCTCTTTATGGCAAAGCACAGACCACAGGGGAGGGTTACTTACATGCTGACAGAGTGCTCCCTGACATAGGCCAAATCCCAGCCAGCACTTAAACCAGTCTGTCATTCTTCATATGCAAAATACATAATGTACACACATGAAAGCTCTCTAAAATCCTGCTGATGCCTTCACGGTTTATGGAACAATAGAGTCTGATTGGGATACAGGTGCCAAGTGTTAGATAAATACCTTGGCAATAAAGTATTTAAAGGCAGATTTATATCTTGTACCTGCAGGTATGGACATCATTGAGGGGCGCAAAGGAGACTATAGGCCACTTTCTCCCTTTGCTTTTTTCCTGCTAAGCCATTTAAGTATATTTCCCTCATTCCCTCATAAAAAGTGGTTGCATGACCTCTCTACCATGCTGGTTGCAAAGCATCATGTGGATACTCCCTTTGCTTCCCAAGGAGGTTATGACTCAGCAGGCAGGGGGACTTCATGTCACACCAGTGGTTCTACGTCTCAAAGCACATTGGTGCTACTTAACACAGATCTGTATTTTGTGCACCGAGTGTGCAGACTCGTCTTGCACATGGTAGAGAGCACCTTGTACGTTGCATGTTTGTGCTCTCCTTTAACAGGCCGTAGCTCTGGTGTAAAGGAGGCATAAACAAGATGAATCACGTTGACTCTGCACTCATAAGGCTAGAAGGAAGCAAGTTATAGCAGTAAGCTGCAGTGATGTTACAGCTGCATTTCTGTGGATTACCATACCAGACATCTGCATTTTACCTGGTTTTTTGATTGTGACTTCTAGAAAAATGTACCTGCCACCTGGAAAAAGGAGTGCTTGAACCTTTATTTTAGGGTAGGAGAACTTCTTTATTAATTTGGGGTTTTTTACAGGCTCCCTTGGAACTTCGTTTTGAGCATATCATTGCCTATATACTTACTTAACTTCTTTTTCCTCCACTATGAACAAAATATAATTTATTCTGTGAAGGAAAGTATTGAACTTGACAGTTGGAAAGATATAATCTTTGAAATTGGAGAGTTTTTAAAACAGGCAGTCCCTTAACTTTGGGAAATCTATTCCCAAACAAGGTTACAGAGTGACCTTTCCCCTACATTGTCCAAAGAGCTCAAAATGAGATGGAATTAATAACTACTGAAAAACAAGACCTTTAAGCAATGATATTGTCCTAATATCTGTCAAGTTAGCCCCTATTTCCCTAGCTGCAGCAACATTTGAGCAAATAACAGATGGGGATGATATCAGGGCAAATAATGTTTGTTTGCTTTTGATGATATTTCCACAGTTTAGGATAGAACTACGGGTCTCTTTTAATGGTTAGAGAAATCCAGTGCTGCAAATAGTCATTTAGAATACCACTTAGATTGATTAACAGAATAAGGCAAACTTTCTGCTAACATGAGAAATGAACTCTCAAATATTTCCCTTTCACTCTCTTCTTACTTTAGAAAAAAAGCTATCACTATGAATAAGATAAAAAAAAATTATCTTATGCCATTATTATTTATAAACAAATATGTCTTTTTGCATGTGTGTGACAAAACTTTTCTGCCCACATCAACATCTGCCTAAAAGCGGATGTGTATAGCCCCTGTATGATCATAGAATAGGACAAATAAGATAATTAAAACATTGAAAGGAATGTCATAGAGTTTATCATCAGGAAGCTGGAAATAGGAGGCTACATATGCAGCCTTACAGTGCAGCGTTACATAAAATATTGAAAACAGGTACATAAGTATTCTGCAGTTGCAGTTTTCTTTCAGTCCATTGCTGTTTTCCTATTGAGTAGTTACTGTTAGACTTGATACGGGTACTGACCCAAGTTGTAATTGAAGTGAAACACTCAGCTTTTCTTTTGATCCGTACAAAATATGAGAGAGTGAGTTATAAGAGCTAAAGAGGAATAAAGGGAGACAGGCAAAAAGTAACAGTTTGGGGTTTTGTGGATTTGTTTGGTTTTGCTTTGCTTTGCTTTGCTTTGGTTTTTTTAATAATACAGCAAGCTACACTCAGCTTCTTAAGAACAGATTTTGTTTGCACAATTAACATTTCAGAGTTGGATTTGGAATATTTTTTGGCCTGCTTTTCTAAGGAAATGTGGCATATGGAATTGCACTGTCCATCTGCCAGCTTTTCAGTCTTCCACTTCTCCTGCAGGGATGTTTATGCCTGCTGGCCATGTTCAACCACGATCAAAGACACTGAATTTCTTAAGATCATTGAAAATTGATGGTGGATAAAGGAGAGAGACTAGCATCCTTGCAACCCCCTGGCATAATCACAACACATGCCACCTCTTCTCAGCTGGTTACTATGTGACTCAGGCACATGCCACCTCCAGGAAGGGGCTAATAATTCAGAAGGGTTTAGAAAGTACTCAGACGGTTGGACTTGTCACAGGGATGCTCATAGATGAAGCAAAAAACCTTAAAATCAATATGCAACCAAACTTCAATTGGTTTTTTGCTCATTATTTTCTGTTGGTTTAATTCTCTATTCAGAACTTCTTGGGACAAGCTGGGCTACAAAGGTCCTTGCTTTATCTAAGTAAGAAGGAAGAATATCTTTGTCCATCTTCCAGAAGGTAGGAATCACAACAGTTAACAGAGATTATATATTTCTCATCCATTTTATTATTTCCCTTTTGTGTCTCTTGTAGACGGTTTGTGAAACTTGGAGGTCTTTTAATTGCTGTGAAAAATACGAGATCATTTCATCATAGGGAATGTCTGTGCATGGAAGAAAGTTTATCTGTGTTAGTAACTGGATGTAATTAGAGGAGTATTTGCTGACTGAGTGGCAAGGAATATCTGCATCCGTTTACAAGAAGTGGAGCAGCAGATTAGAATTTCAAATTAAAACAGAATGGCTGCTCCCAAGTTTTTTGAAAGTAAAGACTTCAGAGCCATGATTGTCAGCCTGTGTCAGACCCACCTTGGCAATGATATTCCAATCTTTTTCCACAGTGTTCATTAATACAGGGATCACTCCCTTTATTTCTTATCTAGAAATGAAGGAATTCTACCAATTTCGTGATGTAGTTTAAATGCTGTGGCTTTGTCAGATTCCTGTTCTTTGTTTTTTCTTTGCTCTGGTCTTAGCTTGGATGCCAGCTCTGACCTTATTACAATTCCTCACACCTGTCCAAGGGCCCTGCACCGGTGTTTGTCTTTGGCCTTATTTTTCCTCTGAAAAAATATGCTCTACTGCTTAGTTTCTCTGCCTCTAACCTTTAGCCCTACATGACATTTGCCTTCAACTAACCCCCACAGTAATTAATGTAGAATCTCTCAGTTTTCCCAGAGTTCAGATCTGATTACAACCTTAATAAATCACTTGTTTGCTAGGATACTCAGTATTCTGACTATGGATTCTGACTTGTCCTAATCTCATCTCTGTGGCCTGTTTTCATACCCCATACATCTTAACATCTTAACATTAAACTGGCAGCTACTCTTTTGCAATGCAGTGTTCTAATTTTCTCTTTTGAGCTTTCCTGGCAATCTGATTTATTTATGAGATTTCAGCAATGTTCTTAAATCCAATGTATTGTAAATAACAGTGTTATTATTGATGGCAACACCAGTTTTGATTGTTATAATGCAGAAAATAAACACACAAATAATAACAGTGGAAGGACATATTGTTATACTTGATACATGACTTTGTAACAAGGAACCTAGTTTTTCTTTTTTAGAATTAATAAGTATGTGTGTGACATAAAGCTCCCATTTCTCTTATGTAAATAAAAACAAGAAGAAAAAGCAACAGTTTTTGCTGATTTTCAAATTGTTGCAGATATCTACAAAAAGCATGTCTTTAATGTCAAGCAAATGCAATTAAAAATATTCCAAAAAAATAAAACACTCTAGTCTTAAAAGACATGGTGACATCATAGACAGAGGAACTAAGACTTGAACCTGACTATAATTTAATAGTTTTCCAAGATTTTTTTTCCGCAGAAAGTGCTGCATTTCCTGAAAAGGTTTTGTCTTTCTTTTAGTTCAATGGGTCAATTTTTTTATTTAGATTTATAAGTATAAAGCTCAGAGATAAGACATCTATCAAACAGGGTCCCTGTATTCCAAATCTTGGCTCTAGAGAACATCAAGTATTACTTCATAACTCCATTTTAAATGTAAAATAAATGCTGAGTATTGATTTTTTTAACGTTATAATTGGAATATAGAAATAAAATGTTACAAAGGAATTAATTATTTCACTATTACAAGTTATCTATTCTAATGTTGGAAAGTAATGTTTGTCATTCGCTTATTTCCATTAGACAAATCATATTTTTACATAATGGTGAGAAATAGTGCCTCTGGAAAACACTTCTGTATATGAGGGAGCAAATTAGAAGCAGCTGAAACCCCTATTGTGTAGCAGTGACATCTCTGCCAGTTCTGCCTCGAGTGCTATAAGAAGTGGTGTGTAAGAAAACTCATAGAGCAGAGGCAATTAGGATTGAAAGAGAGAAAAGCTGAAAATTATCAGACAAAACATTGCAAGGTCAGGATGCCAAGGCA